GTTTAGGGCTTTAGGATTTAGTTTAAGGCTTTTTGGGTTTAGGGTTTTAGGGATGCATTCTTCGTCTAAGGTCGGGATCCGGGTATATCAGGGGTATAAGGTTCATACGGTTAAATTTCGGTTAGAAGTATCGTACTAAATCTTGGGCTCCTTACATACTTTTTGCGCTACAAAACTCTAGATATAACTAGGAAGCAGGTGGGGAATTAGGACCCCAAAATACAAGGCTTGGCTCTTACACGCTGAGGCTTTCGGGCGTGCTAAGGCTTACGGTGCCTAAGCCCTAACAGCCCTAGCAGCCCAAGCAGCGGAGGCTCGGGGAGGTCCGCGGTCGCGAGTTCACGGAGCCTCTGCGCGGCCTCCTGCAGCCGAGGGACTACATAGGGGTATATGAGCCATTGTCTAAACTCCTAGTATCCCCCTTAATGTTTAGGGTTATATAGGGGTATATGGGGGATTGGCAAAATTATGTTCCCTTTTGGGTCCCCTAAATTAGGCCCCGTATTAGGCCCCGTATTATAATAGGGACCCAAAACGGGACCATAATTTTGACAATCCCCCGTATAGGGACAATGGAAAAGAGAATGGAAACTACTATGTAGGGTTTAGGCTTTGGGGTTTGAGGATTTCGTGTTTAGTCTAAACTCCTAGTATCCCCCTTGATAACCCCTATAGTAGTCCCTATGTAATCCCCTATATAACCCCCTTTAAGGAGTTTAGACTATAGTACATGTAGGGATGGATGAGCTATCGGGTTTAGGATTCAGGGTTTGGGGCTTAGGGTTTAGGGCTCGTAGTATCCACCTTGAGAATCCGTATAATACTCCTCTATACAACCCCCCCATATAAGACTCCTTTAAGGACTTTAGACTGTAGCTCAAGCAGGGACTATACAGGGTCAAAAAAGGGGGTTCTCTGGGACTTGGGCTTTGGAAAATGCTTGAAGAAGCTAAGGCCTCAATGTGTTTAGGGGTGAGGGTTTGAGGCTAAGGTTTAGAGTCCCTATGACATGGGCATATCGGGAAACATGAAAGCCTTCTGGAAACTAGGGTCCACCTATCTCCAACCACCCCAGTAATGACCGCGGCATCATAGCAAAGACTCTAAGCAAGACTACAACCATTTCGTGAAACCTCGCAAAATGATAAAGCCTGCAAAGCCCAATTCCCCTACCCCTAAACCCTGAAAACCCCTATACTCCGACCTATAAACCCTAAACCCGAAACCCTAAACCCTAAACTCTGAACCCCTGAGCCCAGGGCCCGGTCAAGCTTATGATGTCATGGTCCTTGACCCAAGCTTCGGCATCGCCAAGAAGGCGTCCATTCACCTGCGTGGAGTGCAATGTAAGGTGCCCATCGAATAAAGGGCTTGGGGTATATGATACATAATACCATGCCTGTACCGGGGTTATACAGGAACAATTTCAGCAATTCTTCAAGCTCCCGCAGAAAACCCTTAACCCTACAATCCTTAAAAACATTGAAAACACTCAAAACCTTTCAAACTCTGAAAACCTAAAAAAGAATCTAAAAACCCTAAAACCCCTAAAAGCTGGAAGTAGTCTAAGAATGTCTATGAGTCTATTCTCAATGGCTTGTAGGGTTGGCTTCCGGGTTTGGGGGTTTAGGGTTTAGGGTTTAGGGTTTAGGATTTAGGGTTTAGGGTTTAGGGTTTAGAGTTTGGCGTTTAGGGTTTTGGGTTTGGGGCGCGTAAGTAAATTACAAATAATGGGGGACCAAATGGACAAGTAAACGGAAAATGAAATGGAAAGTGGGTATAAATAGAAGTTCATGGCGATCATGCAACGCTAGGCCCTAAATAATTCCGAATACCATTTTGCGTTCTATTTGCTGCACCTTATACTATGATTATACCAAGAATATGGGACTATGACATTGGGAATCGTTTATGAACGAAACGACTGGTTAAAGCGGGTCCAAGATGATGGTATTCTCACCCTGCAACCCCGAAATGCAAGACTGCCTTAAACCATACCGCAGCTTCCAAATTTGCAGCTTTGGGTATGGGGTCCCGGGCAACCTGCCTTCATAGAGTCACCAGCTTCACCAACGGCTTCGTGCAACATGATCCTCTCCCCCGTATGATAAGAACCGTCCCCCCCACCACCTAAGAATGAATACATCCAATATGGTACGTTATCATAAGCGAATCTTTTCTGAGTATAGTCTTGAGAATCCCTGCGATTTCAGGCGCACCCGCACGGGTGCTGCATCGATCTTCTTGCCCGCAGGAAAGAAGGCCAGGAAGGGGTAACCAGTCATCTGCCTGGTTGCTGCTAAAGCTCTAAGCTAAGCAGCCATTGCAATTAAAGGCAGCCTTGATATTTCAATATAGCCATATTGCAGTAGCTTAACTCTAAGTGCGTGGAACGATACGGAGAAGA